AGAGAGGGATAGGGATGGAGGAGAGAGGGAGGGGAGAGGGAGGGAGGGAGGGAAGAGGGAGAGAGGGAGTGGGAGGCAGGGAGGGAGTGAGGAGAGAGGAGAGAGGGAGAGAGGGAGAAAGGAGGGAGGGAGAGAGAGGGAGCAAGGGGGAGGGAGGGAAGGGAAGGGAGGGAGAGCAGGAGGAAAAGTTTTAAGAATTTTATGAGAATTTGATCCATGAGTTTTGTTTTCTCTGGCTGCAAGTCAAATTTGATAGTTCCTATGAGTTGATATATTTCGTTGGTTTATTTTTAGCTCTGTGATCTCCATTTGTTTCTTTATTATAACTTGTATTTGATAAATATTATTTATTCATTTCAAGAGAATGTGGGGCTCCTTGTGAAGGATTCCTAGTGGCTACTGAAGCTCGTGCCTCTGGGGGTGTCAGTGTGTCATCTTTTCCCATCTAGGCTTGTTACATCTTGGTGTAACAAGTGGCTTTAATTCTTTCTTTGACATTTGGGATTGCAGTCAGTGTCTGGGTCCTGCACACGTCCACTGCAGCAAGCAGTCACCTGCCTAGGCTTCCTGTGCAGGCCGTGGCCTCCTGCTGTGGACTGTGGCCGGATGCCCAGCCTGCTGCTGGCTTTCTCCTGCGCCCCCTGTCCCACTGCCTGCTGGAGGAAGGGGTTTCTATGGACAGGGCTGCCCTCGTCTCCAGGCGTGGTAAGGGAATCTCCACAGGCGTGGGAGTGATGCTGCTTGTCCCCACCCCAGCCACCCTGGTGGGAAGGGAGGCTCAGAGGAAGTGCCTGCCCAGATGCTTCAGCTGGGCCATCTTGCTGAACTCATCTGATATACTTGAGAGAAGAGTTTGAACCAGCAAAGGAAAAAATCTATCTAGGCCACCATCTGTCCCTAGTCTGGGAGTCAGGAATCAGTGCGTCTGCATTTGCCTTCCCCATGGGTGGGGAAACGAGTTGCCACACATTAATGGTTCCTATCATCCGTGTTCCTGCACCTGTTTAACATCCTCTTTCCACCTTCTTAGTTTTTTATTGACAGCTTCATTCAGCTATAATTAACAAGAAACTATATATTTAAGGTGCACAACCCAATACATCCCTATGTGTATAATTTGTTAAATGATAACAGCAGTCTCATTAATGTATCTGTCCCCTAACTTTTTCGATTCTCATTTCTGTGCGTGTGCCAGTGGAGAGAAAGCAAGGTCTCTCTCCTCAGCAGATTGCAGGCGCACAAGTGAAAGATGCCAAGAATGGCCACCGTGCTCGGGAGCCGCGCTCTCTGAGGACGGCGTGGAGACCCCTGCTGCGCTGTCCTTCCCCACGTCTGGGCTGTGTCAGCCTGCGGGAAAGGGACACGGTCAGCTTCTGTTCTCATCCGATCTGGGCCAGCCTAATCTGTGTGCCATTTATTCACACAACACGGGCCACCGTGTTTCCTACTTTTTCTACTTCTTCCTCCTGTTTCTGTACTAGGAGGTCTGCGGACTCTGGCCGCTGGGTTTTGAGCTGCTCAAGGAGGAATCGGTATGGACTGCTCTGTGAGACCCAGGCCCGTGCTGGCCCCCGGCATCGCCCGCCAGGCCGGCTGCACTGCCTCCCCAGTCTGCTCTCCACATGATGCCCATGGCCATCCCCCTCTGCATGCACAGCCACACCTTATCCCCTGGGCGCAGCCTCCTTTCCAGGCTGTGAAGGTCTCTGGGACCCATAGCACACTGGCTAGGCCCAGGGTGGCAGGCGCTGGCTTAAGTCTCCATTTGTATTTGTTTCCTCACCCCACTATTTGAGGCCGTTGCTGTATAGAATTCTGGGCATCCCTGGAATGAGACCTCCAATGTGTCCTATTTTTGCTTCCCCCC